TTTTTTATTTTTTTATTGTTTATTGTTTATTTTTTAGTTTGTAATACATTTATTGTTCGTTTTTCTAAAATTTAACAATTTCTTCCTTTTTTTTTCCTAACTTTTTTTGTTTTTCGTTTTTTTTTTGATTATATCTTATTTTTAAAAAATAATAATTAATAGTTAGTCGAATAATTTGTATCATCTCTGATTCAAATAAATCAAACATTTTCAGGTTGATGAACAGACTGGATGTTTAAGATATCGGGAATTATTTTCGAAATTTATTACTTTATGTCATAAATGGACAAATAATTGGCGTGACACTTATTGTGATAATCCTGCAAGAATTCAATCTTCTACAATAGGCATTATAAAGTAAAAATATTTATTTATCAGTAATATTATAATTAGCAAATTTTAGTAATAATTAAAAATTAATAATTTAAATGTTCGTTTATCAGTAATATTATAATTAGCAATTTTAGTAAGAATTAATAATTTGAATGTTTATTTATCAGCAATATTATAATTAATATTATAAATATTATAATTAGCAATTTTAGTAATAATTAAAAATTAATAATTTAAATGTTCGTTTATCAGTAATATTATAATTAGCAATTTTAGTAAGAATTAAAAATCAATAATTTTTATAAAAATAAATGTTTTTTTTTTGCAATTTTAGTAAAGATTAGTAACTGATCATAATCAGTACTCATTATCAGCATACTATATAACTGACGTATTACGATTATAGATGAAGCAGTTAATATTAAAATATGATATTATTGATAAAACAGCCGAACAAAATCATTTCATCCATTGTTTTTCATATTTTATCATTAATTATTAGCAAAAATGATAAGCTTTTGTTTTTTATAGAGGTATTTGTGAGAGGAATATTTTATCATCTGAATTATGCTTTTCACCACCACCTTACACTGAATTACCAACAAGTATGGTTTGTTTTTTTTTTCGACAATCATAGAAATAATTAAATATTCATTCTCAGTATTATCATATCTTAATTCATCATTTTTATCATATTGATAAGGAACATTTTTATCGTATTGATAAGGGACAAATTTATCATTAAGGCAAACAGCAAACGAATTGAAGTAATAATATTCCATTAAAATTTGCATCTATTGTATAACAAATATATCAGTAAATTATCAATTAATATATTGCATATTAATTAAAAATAGAATAAGATGGGATATGTTAAAATGCTAGGAAAATATTTGTTGCAGGAACAGGAACTATCTTATCATTATCATATCATTACCATGTATTGTTAGAGAAGAGTAAATTGTTAATCAATTAATGTGTCATTTAGTAATTTAAAAAATTGTTAATTTTAGAATTTTTAATTTATGGAGCACGATATGGAGCAGATGAGTTAGATCTTAAATTTGCAAAATATGAATGGAAGCAGTTAACATTTGGTTATGATCATGTATCATCGGATTTTCTTCATCAATTTATTTCAAATTTTATGCAACCTTCCGGATTGCCTCGTTCATCGCATGTAAATCATTCATTTATCTCTTCAAAATTTTTTTTTTCTCTTAAAATTTTTATTTTATAAAATTATTGTAAATTAATAAATTAGCATTTGTAATTTGTAAAATGCTAATTTAATATTTTATAAGAATAATTCCTAGTGATAAAAAAAATTTAATCTTCTAATATCATTGAGTAATTTGATAAATTCATCATAAAAATTTCAAATATAATATAATTATTAACATCTCAATTACACATATAATATTTAAGTAATTGATAATTATTTTATCATATTTTAGTCTAGACTATATTACTATCATTTGATATCCTTCTAATTAAAATTCTGATTAAATTTCTTTTCATCCTTGTTAGCTAATAATATATTTGTAGCTAGTTTAAATTTCATTAATTAATCTGGCTAATTGCCATACCTAAAATTAAATTTTTATTTTAGTATTTGTTTTTCTTTCTTAAATTTACTTTTTTTTTCTTTTTTAAAGATTTATTCCAAAACCAATAAATTAGAATGCGGAAATTCAGGCTAATTTCTTAACGAATTATATTATCTAAATTCAAATATCAGTTATTTTAATTCAGGAATTTAAATTTGAAATTTTTTTTTGAAATCATTTTTATTATTTATTGTTTTTAGGAAGAAGAAAATGATGACATAAATATACCAATGATATTATTCGATTTAAAAACAACGCTAATTCGTCTTAGCATTTATGTTATCACAAGTGATTGGTTGATGGATAAGGAAAAAAAAGTTTCTTTTTTAATTTGTAAAACAAAAATTTTGAATAATTTTAAAATATGAAATTAAATTATTTTATAAAGTTGTTTCATATAAAATATTATTTAGCTTTACTTCGTTTCATCTATAAAATGATCTTAATTGCAACAATTATTCGTACAGCAATTTTATCAGTGATACGTATGCCATTATCACAACTGATGACAACATCATTTTCATTATTACGCAATGAGGTAATTAATATTTATTTAAACTTTTTGCAATTTTTAAAATTTATTGAAATTTTTCAAAATTCGTAAAAAAAATTATTACATTTTATTTGAAAATTGAAACGTTTGAATTTTATTTGAAAATTAGTTACTTATATTCTTTAATGTTAATTATAATTGATAGTATTACATTTTGTTTGAAAATTATTATTTGAATTTTATTTAAAAATTTATTTGAAAATATTTGAATTTTATTTGAAAAATATTATTTGAAAATTAGTTATTTATATTCTTTAATGTTAATTATAATTAATTGCGTACGAAGCAAATTTTTAATTTATTTATAATCATTTGCTAGATATTTTCTATATCGTAAATGTGCGGGAAATTTCTCCACCATCATTTTGATGGTTTAATTTTGTTTCGAAAATTATTACAGTATTTTCCTACACTATTAGAGAATTAAGTCTTTTTAAATTCTTTTAATTTATTTAATTATAACCATGAAAAATATTGCCTAATTTAATCATTTATATTAGGAAAAAACATTATTGATTATTAATAATCATGATAATCTCTTAATTAATTAATTAATTAATTTGATTATTAATCGAGTAAGTGACAATGTAAAAAATTTTTGGTTCATAATATCTTTTATTTTCTAAATCATATCTTCTATTTCATTTCAGATATTCATCTTTGTTATAAAAAATGTAATTGGTAGAATTTTATTGGAAGGTAGGACACCACCTGTGGATGTTATAAATCTTTTATCGCGTAATACGGTAAGTTTTTGAAAAAATTCATTTGATGTAGGAATTTCTGAAAAAAAAATAAATATTACAATTTTTTATTTAAATTTTGGCACATTCCAATTAAACTTTTATTAATTTTTGAATTTTGGTAAAAAAAAAGTAAAACAGAAATTAAAATGAAAATTAAGATTAAAGTTGATTATGAAGAAGCATTTCAATATGCTTGTACGGATTTATCACGTTTTACGGCACAATTATGGCATGAATGTGGTATACATATTTATGATGAAAATTATCATATAGGTCAAAGGTCATTTTCGAATCTCTATAGGCATCTAACAGGTTTTCTTTGAATTATACTACTGTATGTTTGAATTAAATAGATGCGATAGTAGTTAAAAATAGTTAGTTAAGAGATTAAATATTAAATTATACACCGATGAAATTCTATGGTTTTATTCCATCTTTTAGATGTCTAAAATACACGATCATATAATTTGAAAATTAATGTAAAAGATATAAAAGGGTCAAAGTTTATCATTCGAGTATTTAAGTAACAAATTTTATGATAGTTTCATTCCAAGTTTCATTCCATCATTTAGATATTATAATTGTAGAATATGAATTAACAATAACTTAATGAAATGGAAATAAAATTTAATAAAGACAAATTTTTTAATTACTTACTTTAATTGCTTAGATGAAATGCAATAGGCCAAATTAAGGTGAGATCATTCAACATTTTTTTTTTTTTGATAAATGACAATTCTTTAATGACATCTAAAATGTTTGATCAAAAGATATTCATTTGAATTTACAGGTGAAAGTAAACTATCGATTTCATTTGTACCAAAACTTCGTATTGAGAAATTTACCGAGGAAGTAATGCAACTGATCAATGTTGAAAGTTTTCGTGAGGTAATAATCAATCATTGTATAATTTTTCATCAGCTTTTTCATTCCGGATTGCTAATCCGGATTGCTAAACTTTTTATTAAGCAATCCGAAATGATTCTTTCGTAGAATTACATCCAATTACAATATCATCAATATTTTTCAAATATTATAACATTGAAATTAATATTGGAATAACTA